CAAGCATGAATATAGACTGTCATCTGTTTTTTAGGGCCAAAATATTGCCTATATGTTATTTTCTGTAAGTTCCGGACGAAACATATACCATTACAGCGCCGAGTAAAGGGGGAGAAGAAATAAACTTATCTTTTTATTTTGGCTGAAATGAATGAATATATCGACTGACGCAGTGGTTCATCCGGCCTGAAGGTAAACTCTGATCGTGGAGAAGGTTTTATTGCACTATAGGATTTGTGGCAACGCCGGTTTTAATTATGAGGTTAATTTTGATCGCGGCGAGTGAAACGGCAGCAGAGATAGAGCCAGTCTCAAAATTAGCCAACTTTACCGCAAGCTTCAAAGTAGACAAAGCTCCCTCGATGCTCTTTGGCTGGAGTCTTTCCATGCTCCTTCCTCGAATTTGTTTGTCATTTGCCACAAACAGAGGTAAATCTCAATCACTTCTCCCCGATTCATCTCAAAGTTGAAACTTCTACACCGACCTGCCCCTCTTTCCAGACTTTTGACCACATCGGGGTCCCCGCTGCGGCTCACTATTGGCCGAGTTTCTCAAATTTGAGACAGGAGAAATTAAGGATGCGAAGAATTGAGAAAATCCAGAGAAGGAACTAAAGCCGAGATTCCTTTATATTTAGATTGAAGGAATTAATACAAAGATTATGGTAAGATATCGAAAGGAAATCAACGGAGTTCTTGCATCCCGCGGGGATTATTAATTTTAAATAAACTATTTTAACTTAAAGTTTTGTGACACGGTGGTGCCACCGGTTTTCTTTTCTGAAATTAGCTCCAAAGCTCATGAGAAACTTTAAGAGTTGAGACTGTAGTAAAGGAGCATTCCAACTCTGTGAGATCATCCACCTGAGATTTTCGTTTATTTTATTCTGTTTATATCGGCCAAAAGGTTAAGAAAATTATGTATCAGAAGAGAGAGCAGAAGCATCAGAAATGTGGAAGTACAGAAAAATGTGGAAGAAAGAAAACAAAAGAACACCTTCGTTAACAGTGTCAAAACTCTACGCAGGACGAGCAATAAATGACACATTGGAAACTCACGATCAGAGCAATCACATAGAATTAATTATTAGCCATTTACCAAATTCGTTAATAGGCACTTATATTATGATTACTTCGTTGACGAACGACAACACTGACAAGAATTAAATCTCTTCCGAGA